AATGTCGGTGCCTCTGTCTATGGAACGCTTCGTCGTGATAGAGCATCTGGTCATCTTCTTGGAGAGATCCTCGAGGATGGAACCGTCGATGGGACGCCACACGATGTCTCTTGCAGTTTTGGCCTGTCGATGCGACAATTTGGGCCCAGAAACCCAAAGCATCGTGCCCGAGAATGACTCTCTAAATGCTACCAGTTTCTACCCCTTCGCCAGTGATACACCGTGCTCAGCATTCCATTGCTTTACTTCCCGACTTCAAGTCATCCCGCTTGCGCAGTCATCAGAGATTCAACTCTCTGGTCGACTTCATCGCCAGCCCATCCAAGCAGAGCCTCGTCAATCTGGCGACCTTGCTGAACACGACGCTAGGACCAGCTGTCCGAGACAGGGATGACAGTTCCACTAAACTTTCGTCCCCTGTGACCTCCACTTGACCAATGCACCTCGACTGCACCTGCCCTGAGAAATCGACTTTCTAAACGCGTCCCACGGATCAGGATCCAAGAATCTTTCTTGATCATCACCACCATTTTTTTTCTTGGCCCAGCTTCGCCCCTTCGATGGCAATTGGGCACTGGCGACGATACACAATTGATTGTCCCTCGCCGAGCGCTTGATTGCACCGGCTCAACAAACGCATGCGACGAACCGATTGCGACAAACGCCAGGCGCAACTGTGAGATGGCTTCCGCACTCCCAGCCGCCATGGCTGCTGCCTCATCCATCGACCCGGCGGCGGCGACTTCGACCGATTCCCCTCCTGCCTCCAAGAAGTTCAAGGCTTCCGACCTCCCCCTACCATCTGCGACCCGAGCCGCCATCGAATCCCTGGCCCACAGCTTCAAGAAGAAGGGCGGATACGACGCCATTCGCAAGGAGGTCTGGGACAAGTTTGCAGCGAGCGTGAGTCTCTTCTGGCATGTACTTGCGTGACGAACGACTGACCCGCGCAGGATTACGAGGCCCAAGTCACCAAAGCCATCCTCGAGGTGGCCGAACAGGAAGTCGAACGCAACCCCGGCCAGCTCCTTACCCTCGACCGAGGCAAAGCTGCCGCCCTAATTGACGGTGCTCTCGAGCGCTCTGGCGTGTACCAAAAGGCAGAGCAGGTCATCACGCAACTCATCGACAGGGCATCGATCGAGGAACGCATGCGACAGCTGCGCCGCGCCGACATTGGCGAAGACGAAGCTGCGGCAGAGCAAGAGCGGGGAGCCAAGACAGACGAAGACTACCACGCAGAGACGTTGGCGAAACAAGCTGAGCGCGAAAGAGTCCGGGAGGAACTGAGACAAAAGGAGGCTGCCATCGAAGAAGAGAAACGCAAGATTGCACGGGAAGAGCGTAAAAAGGTCGAAAAGGAACGAGAAAAGGCCGAGGAGAAACGCAAAGCCGAACGAGACGCCAGACGGGCTGCCAGAGAGAAGCTTCAAGCAGAACGCGAGGCCGAAAGAGAAGAGCGCCGCCGCCAACGAGACAAGGAGCGGAGCCGGGAAAGGGAGCGGGACCGCGATCGAAGCCGGAGCCGGAGCCGTAGCCGCCGCAGAGATAGAGATCGCGACAGAGACCGTGATCGGGACCGCGACGAGCGCGACCGTGAGCGTCGGGAAGAGCGAGATCGCAAGCGCAAGGAGCGGCACGAAGAGACCGAGGAAGCCAAGCAGAAGCTTTCCCAGGAGCAGCTCGAGAGACTTGAACAGGAAGCCCTTGCGGACCTCCTCCGAGAGAGCAAGCGCAACACGGCAAAGCAACCCGAACTGGAGATTGACGAAGCGCTGGCACCACCTCCTAGGAAGCTGGCTCCCGCGTCTGCCATCATGCCCTTTAAGAAGGTTGCCTCCTCGCGAGACTCGCAAAAGGCCGCCGAGCCGAAGAAGGCGGTAGAAGTCAAGAAGGAAGCACGAGATGCTAGCATCGCCGCGACACCAAAAGCCGATGCACCAGCTGTCAAGGCTAGAAGTCGCAGTCGGTCACAGGCGACTGCCAAGGACCGCGAGAAGGACAAGGAAGGCGATGACGATAGACGACGCACGCGAGATGATGACGACCGCCACAGACGTGATCGTCGGTCTAGGTCTCCTCGACCGCGTGATCGATCCCGCGACAGACGTGACAGGTCGCGTTCAAGAACCCGACGCGATCGCAGCAGGTCTCGTCGACCCGAAAGGCGGGAGAGGACCCCCTCGCGTACTCGATCCAAGACGCGCCGTGATCGAAGCAGATCTCGCACACGCCACGACCGCCGTGATAGGAGTCGGTCTAGGTCTCGCGACCGGAGAGACCGCGTTCGCGACAGACGAGATCGTAGTCGCTCACGCCGCCGCGAGAGAAGTCGGTCGCGGGCTCGCAACGATCGCAGGGATCGCAGCCGTTCTCGTGTGAGGGCCGACCGCCGAGACAAGTCGCGGTCCCGCTCTAGGACCCGCCGAAGCAGGTCTCCACGGCCTGACCGGCGCGAGTCGATCCGACGTGACCGCAGCCGCTCTCGCCCTCGCCGGGATCGCTCTTCTGACCGAAAACCTTCTGAGCGGGATCGCAAGAGTCGGTCTCGCTCGAGACACCTTTCTCCCGTGGTGCGATCTACTCCCCGGCTGGAACGCGACAAGGACGAAAAGGAGGCCACCAAGATGGTCGAGGTCCGCAAGCGCGAAAAGGAAGCCAAGGCGTATCTTGCAGCGCAGCGCGAGGCCCGAGAGAAGGGCATGCCGGTTCCCGGGATCGACGATAAGAGAAGCACGGGGGATCGCTCACCTGAGGCGAAACGCAGGCGCGACCTGGATGAGATCGATCGGTACGTGCCCCCCGGCCGAGACCGAGAGCGGCCTCACGACCTGGCACGGGATGACGAGCGGCGTCGGAGTCGCTCGCGCAGCAAAGATCGCGAGCGGGACAAGGACAGAGACCGCGTCAGGGACAGGGATCGTGATCGTGATAGGGACAGGGACCGAGACCGGAGAGACAGAGACCGCGATAGGGATCGGTCGAGAGATCGCTCTAGAGATCGACGGGACCGGGAGAGGGCCAGGTCGAGGGATCGGGATCGGGATAGGGATAGGGACCGTGATCGTGATCGCGACCGTGACCGCCGCAGCCGGAGAGACCGCAGCGTCTCGTCGCGGAGGGACAGACGGGATCGAGACCGGAGCCGGAGCCGCCGAAGAAGTAGGAGTCGCTAGTTGCCTCTGCGCCCGGCGGGGATGGTTCGTTTCGCCAAGGAGGGTAATGGAATGGGACTGTGAAAAATAGGGAGGTTACGGCATCGGGTCGTCTCACGTGGATAGGAGTTATGGAATATCATCACATGGCTCACTATGGCATACGGCTGGGGCGAAAGCGTCGATAGCATCAGTAGCATCAATCGCAGTGACAGCTCGCGGAAAGTGCGCCTCAAATTGAAGCTCGCCTATCCTGTGGAAGGATGTCGTCAGCTGTGGTGGACATGCGGCAGCCTTCTGTATCTGATGCGACCGCCGCCTATCCACAACTCTCCGTGGAAACACGGCGCCGAACGGAACCCACAAAAGCGGCTTCAATCCGGACAAGCGACCGGAAACCCGGAACAACAGGGATCCCAATGTCCAAACCGCCCACGCGGCGTGTAGCTGTCATGGACTCATGGGGAATGGAAACGCGACGGGCGGTGCATCCGAGGGACCTGGAACCCTGCACCATCCTGCCTATGCTTGCGCCGCCAACGCCAACGCTTCCACAGGACCTGGGTTCGAAGGCAGAGATGATGGGCCACGAATGCCGTCTTTTCCCTCCCCTTCCAGACCACAGTTTCTCGGACAGCCGCGAGCTCAACCATCCCTTTGAAATCTTTTCAAATTCCCAAAAATTGCCAGATTCCAGTTGAACAGAAAAACCGAGGCGTTCGGATGACAGCGAGCCAAGCCAGCATGACTCAAAGATTCTTACGCAGAGTCTGTTAAATCTGCTCACTGGATTCGGGCAGAACTTTTCGCTTTCGCGAAAGCCCCATTGTCTACGATTACACACTCTTTCCATGCCACTGTGAGGCGTAGTGCTTCAAACTTTCTCACCGCAAATTGGCCCCTATTTCCCATAAACCCCGTCGGGAAACCTACACGGGGTGATAGGGTACCCATTCCCAGACGTGCCAAACGCCTTCATCCGCGGCAGTTTCGAATATCGTAGGTTTACAGCTCTCTCCAGCCCATTATGGTCTCTATGCTACCCTGCATCCCAACATAGAGAATAGCAAAACTCTGATAAGGTGAACCCAGCTTCCAAATCCGTCCGGCGTAGTAATCATCCCGGATCCCTTGGGCCTCAGCAGCCTGGCACCGAAAACCCTCGCACACATCACAATAAGGTTTTGCCAAACGCACTATAGCAAGCAACCCTCTTCCCTGAATAGACTCACGCAGCCACGCATCACAATGAACAACGTCCAGGGTCCAGCCTTGCTGTCATACTGCGTACATCGTTGGCCCCCGTTTGACAGCCAATAGTGTGTGCCGGTGGGCGGCCCTGTTCAGATTGCCAGAGATCCGTGAGGGCAACGACTGAACAAGCCAGCTCCAAAACCACGTCTCAGAAAAGGTCCCGGCGGTTCCGTCTGGGGAAACTCTATTCTGGCTTCGCGCAATTCGCAAACGTCCCCATCTGAACTTTGTTCTACGGAGTGCTCCGGTTTCTTCACGCAAAGTTGCCGGCGGACACGCAATTTTGCTATGCAAGTCCGCTGTGCGCGCGCAGCTTCACTGTTCTCACTTGGGGCCCTTGGCATGCCGCCTAGAGGGGCTAACCCGAAGATGGCGCCACGCATACTATATCCTTAAGGCAGGTGTTTGACAGCTTCATAGTTTGATGAAGATGGGCGGCCGAATAGATTGGAGTGCCGCGAAATTAACAGTACAAAAGAAGAAAAGACGGAAAGAAAAAATAATGAGGTCTCTGTAGGTCCCTCCCGCGGGAACACAGGTATCCAACGCCCCAAACGCCTGTAGTCCAAGTCCTGCCCACCCATACAGCACCTAAGCCGCGGGCGTTGAGGTGGCCTTGGGGGTGTAGTCCCTAAAGTTGGCATTGAGCGGATCGCGGTCCAACAGGTACTTGAACTTGTCCGAGTTCTTCTTGACGTAGTCTGGCACGTCGTGGTTCTCCTCGATGCGGTCAAAGTTGGACTCGCCTCGGCCGAAGCTGTGTAGTGTTAGTCAGAGTCGTCAAAAGTCAGAGACGCCACTTACATGTCGTGACCGCGGCGGGCCACGGAAACAATCCAATCGGGGTCCTTAAACTCGGGCTTGTTGAGCTCGGCGTGGGAGAAGGAGTTGATCTTCTGGGCCATCTCCTCGACGGTGCTGAAGCAGTAGCTGCAGTGCCAGCCGCCCTGGTTGAAGTGGTGGTCGTTTGCGTTGTGGCGGAGGTCGTGAGGGAGGACGGTGTCGACGCCGCGGTAGACGGTGGCCTGGGGGTGGTTCCAGTCGTTGCGGGAGAGCCACTGGTAGGAGTAGTAATAAATCTTGGAGTGGATGGAGACGCGGGGCGGGATCTCGCAGTTGCGCAGGGCGCGGAGGACCTCTGGCTTGGGGATCTCGTCCACGTCGGAGACGATGAGAATATCGTCAATGGAAGCCTGCTGCTCGCCCTCGAGCGTGGGGATGACCTGCTCATACATGGCGTTACGGCTCTTGGCCTCGCGGTCCCAGGTGCTGCTCTCCTTGAGGGCCTCGAGGTCCATCTCGCGGAGAATCATCTTGTGGTGCCACGGCTTGAAGAGGTCCCAGTTCTCCTTGATGTACAGCGGCTTCTGGTTGTCGGTGAAGGTCAGGGCCGACTCGAGAATGACAAAGTAGTCGACGTAGGGAGCCATCTGGCCGAGGCGGACCTCGAGCATCTCGACTTCGGTGTTGATGAGGAGCAGGTCGTACACCTTGCGCTTGCGGACCAGCTCCGTGTTGGCCGGCTTCAGGCGGAAGTGGTCACAGTACTCGACGGCCTTTGCGGGAGGGAGGACCTCGCTATTGCCTGCTTTTGCGAGGCCATCGTAGGGCGTGCTGTTGGGATGTGTGATCTTGCGGGCATGCTCGGCCACCTCTGTGTGAAGATCAAGACGCCAGACGAGCCAGATGAAAACGAGGGAAGCCACCACGGCCAGATACTTGATCTGGTGACTTGATGTTGGTTTGTTCATCATTCTGCCGGATATGAGCACAAGTGACGGAAGAAGATGAAGGAAAGGATGCCCCGAGAGAAACCGCTCAAACCTTGAGCTGCAAGATGAACAAGACCACAGAGAAGAGAAGATGGGGAACGGCAAACTATCGGCCAAATCTTGCGAGCAGTGAAATAGAAAATGGGCGAGGTGAGGGGTACAAGCTGAACTTGTTGAACTCTGCGAGGGACACAAAGTCGGCTGGCGGTTGGCCTGAGCTCTCTCAAAGTTCAGTCTGAGTCGTCGGTCTCGAACATTTCAGAGGACAATCCTATAAGTGTCTCGCCTCCGCTAAAAGGCGTCGTCCGTCATGCTTGTACATTTCTAAGCCCGCCGAGCTGAGGTCCGCCCTTTGATAGTCTGGACAGGGGTGAGCGTTATTTGTTGTGTTGGAACCCTTTGGGCCCTAGGGGCCATGCCATTCGAGAACGTGATAGCGGGAATGCAATCACCGAACGCAGTGCCTGTGGCGGACAAGGCGATGCCGCGATTGACGCCAAGATGGGCCAACAGGCAGCCCAACAGACAGCCGCAGGAACGTGTAGACCCGCGATGGCACGAGACTATCACGACAGTATCCATATGTAGACGGGATGAGCGGACGGCTAAAGGGAGGTTGACGTGCATCAGACCCTGGATGGGTGTTGGGATGAGCATCTTGGGCGGCACTGGCACGCAGATGCTATTCGCACGCATACTTCCGGCAGGGAGGACGCGCCGCTGCAGTGCGAATGTCCTCATCCAAAGCCGATGCAGGGGGCGGCCATGCCAGCTTGGCGCAAAGATAACGACAGTCGACACTTGTCAAAGATCCCTTGATCTGCCCTAGCACGCCTAGCCTTCCAGTCGTCTGGGTATGGTTTGTGGACCATTGCCTGTGGTCCATGGACCAAGCCCTGTGGTTGCAAGCGGGACGGTACGGGATCCTCGGGGAGCGAAGTACCCCTGTCCGAGGTCTTCAGGTCTTTGGGAAGCTCGCCGTGAGCAGATGTGGGCTTGCAGCTGGAGAGCGAAAGAAAGAGAGGCGGCGAGTCACAGGCCAGGGTGGTAGACTGGGCTTGCAGGATGGCGGGTGCGCTTTGTGATGATTTGGTGTTGTGTTCTGAACACATTTCGGCGGTGGCCCGAGATGTCTTGATTGACGTTCCGCTAGTCTGATGATGGGCCTCACTAATCGCCCATCTACTCGTGAATGGTCTCCAGCGCAGTGGACAAGTACCACGCGACGACAGCCCACATGCCCAGAAGGATATTGCGACCAAGGCCGGTCTGACAAAGAGAAGATGGGCTGAACGGAGCACCATAGTGCAAAGAAATCGAAAGCGTCGTCGGCATTGGGTTTCCCTTTGGTTTCCCTGGAGTTACACAGCACGCGTTGGGTGTTCTGTCTTGGATCCGAGAACCGGGTCGAATTGTGGTGGCAGCCAAGGGAGTTGAGCTCTCTCCCGCATTCCGTTGGTGTTGGAATGCGGATACGGAGCGATGAAGCATCACATCGTGGTTGATGATGGTGTTGATGGGCGAGAAGCCGTGGGTGATGCAAGGGAGCGTGGGGGAGATGAGGCCACTAGAGAACTTGGCGGGCGCCTTTGGCTTTTCCAGCGATCCCTTGGTTACACGAATCGGTTATGCAGAAAGTGGACAAGACATTGTGTGCCGTTTTGTGCAACCTCGTTTGGTGTTGCTGGTGTTGCTCATGTTGCTTATCTAAGATGCTGACCTAAGGTGTATGTACTTGTGTCATGTACCTCTGGATGCACCATGGCACTATGGCATGGCTGATGGCGCCAATGCAGGAGATGGAGCCAAGTTTTATGCTTCCCCTGGCCTCTGAGCTTAATTAAAACATGACAGGCTGCGAGCAGCAATAGACGGCCAACGGCACAGGCAGCGCCCCAGCACCAACTCGTCAATCCGCTGCATCGCGGGGCCGAGCCAACAAACTTTCCCCTTGATCATTGCCTTCATAGGAACGCACCGGCCAGAGTAAAGACCACAGAACAGAGACTAGAGGTGTTTCCCCTTCCCTCGCGTTACACGACCCCCCTTGGCTCGCCGTTGTGTCTTGCATTGTGCCTTTGTCTCGCCTTGCCCAAGTCCCAAGTCCGCCGGCACTCATCTCAAGCTTTCGCTCCTTGACTTCTTCCCCCTTCTGATCATCACCACAACTCCCGCTGTCCAACTCTCCTTTCCTCATCCGAACACCCTCCACTCTCCCTTGGTCCCCTGAAAGCCTCGAGGCAAATTGCCTGCCACAAGGTTCATTTGCAAATTCCATTGCGCGACACGTTGCTCTTTTGAGTCGTCTCTGCGGTCTACCTATGCGAAGTACAATCCGGACACAACATCTCTCTGGACAATTAGCAACTCGTTAGCAACTCGTCAGTGAACCGGCCGTAACTGTGGCATCTACAGCTTCATCTCCTCTGCGACTGCCAGAAACCAGACCGCACCCAACGTCAACTCTCGCAACTCCAACACCCCATCCAACCAGTCAACCGGCAACCAACTAAAGACAAAAGACAGGGGTCGCTCCCTCCACGTGCCGGCCGCCCGACTTTAGCGCCTCCTCCCCAAAGCCCCCCCTTCTCCGCCAGCCTTCTTCAGGCCCAGCTACGACCAGTGGTCAGCCCAGTCCAATAAGGTGCCGTCCTATTTCGTACCATCGCCAGGTACATTGCAGCCAGCAGAAAATACGAGAAAACCCGCTGCGGAAGGGGGCTCATTGACACCAAAGGACCTCGAGGTACGGAGTACCAGGCACCAGTCCAGCAAACGGCGCAGCGCTTCAAACATCCGCCTGCCGCCACACACCTTGCAGTCTTCACTTCTCTTCCTTCGTTTCTCTCCGTGCCACTCTCGCTCTCGCCTTTTTGTCACCTTGTTGACCTGCAAGGTGGTTCGCATTTTGCATCCTCCTCTCCTCCATCTTTTCTTCTCCCGTCTTTCCTTGTCGCTGTTCTGTCGCGTCGCTGCACTGCATCTCTCATGCCTTCCGTCTGACGCAACTGTAACAACCCCCATCCTGTCCTTCCCCCCGACGAACCCGGCCCACCACCGACTCCAGTCCCGTCGTCCGCCGCCGTCTCCGTCGCCGTACCCTCCGATCATCCGTCGCTTGGCTTCTTGACTTTGTTGCTTGTCACCCCTGTCACAACACCATCACCGCGCAACCATGAGCGAGCTGCCAACCACCGAGAAGGCCGTGGGCTCCAAGGCTCTTCACCCGGCCTTCTTCATCGCGTGCGTATCCCCATCCTCAGCCTCGCCGGGCCTCACTAACACTCCCACAGGAGCTGGATCTTCTTCTCCAACTTGACCATCCTCTTCAACAAGTGGCTGCTTGACACGGCCGGCTTCAGTAAGCACCTTCTACCCCATTATGTTGACCGTCACTAACCACCCACAGAATACCGTACGTCTCACCAGCCCAAACCCTCACTGCTCCCCACTAACATGCCCCAGCCGTGATCCTCACCTTCTGGCACCTCGTCTTCTCCACCCTGGCAACCCAAGTGCTGGCGCGCTTCACCTCCCTCCTCGATGGCCGCCACAAGGTCAAGATGACGGGCCGCGTCTACCTGCGCGCCATCATGCCCATCGGCGTCCTCTACTCGGGCTCCCTCGTCTGCTCCAACCTCGTCTACCTCTATCTCTCCGTCTCCTTCATCCAGATGCTCAAGGCCGCCGCCCCCGTCGCCGTCCTCTTCACCAGCTGGATCTGGGGCGTCGCCGACCCCTCCATGAAGACGTTCTACAACATCCTCCTCATCGTCGGCGGCGTCGGCCTCGCCTCCTTTGGCGAGATCGAGTTCTCCTGGATCGGCTTCATCTTCCAGATGGGCGGCATCATCTTCGAGGCCATCCGCCTCGTCATGATCCAGGTCCTGCTCAAGGGCGACGAGAACGCCCAGAAGATGGACCCCCTCGTCAGCCTCTATTACTACGCCCCCGTCTGCGCCGTCATGAACTTCTTCGTCGCCTGGTTCAGCGAGTTTGGCAAGTTCAACGTCGAGGACTTTAACAAGGTCGGCTTCACCATGCTGCTCCTCAACGCCAGCGTCGCCTTTGCCCTCAACATCTCCAGCGTCTTCCTCGTAAGTGCCGTCTCTGTACTCTACCGACCCCTACTGACAGAAACCAGATCGGCAAGACGTCGGGCCTCGTCATGACCCTCACCGGCATCCTCAAGAACATCCTCCTCATCGTCGTCTCCGTCCTCATCTGGCACACCAGCATCACGGCCCTCCAGTTCATCGGCTACGCCGTCGCCCTCTTCGGCCTCGTCATCTACTCCACCGGCTGGGACCAGCTCAAGGCCTCGAGCGCCGGCGCCATCACCTGGTCCCGCGGCGTCTGGAACTCCCACGCCCTCGACGAGGGCCGCCTCTCGCCCCTCCTCCGCCGCGCCATCTTCTTCGGCCTGCTCACACTCATCACCCTCATGGTCGTCATGGGCTTCGCCTACAAGGGTGCTGCGGCGCCGGCGGACTGGTTTGCCAAGGTGGGCGCCGTCAGCGCCTAGATGTGTTGACGCTCCTTTTTTCCTTTTTTCCATCATCAAAGCCTGGAGTTTTGGGATAGCGCGTCGTGTACAAAGAGAACATTGGGATCAGAAAATCATGGATTCGTGGCGGGGTTGATGTTTGGTTTTTGAACGCGCGGGTTTTGGGTGGTCTTTGGGTCTAGGCCGCCCGGTGTTGTAATATTGTATATCATGAGCAGCATGCATCACAGGCACAGCTTTAGAATACATGATCTGAACGACGTGCCTCCCGTCTCTGAACCCGCATGACAAAGTAGCGTCTACCGACTAGAAGCATCATCGCGATCCATTGACCTATCACAAGCTTCGCAACCTGCAGCCAAGGCTTACTAAACTATGGAGATCCAACCCGACGACCGCCCATCTCTCGCAGATCGCGTGTCATTGAATTCGCGCTTTGAAAAAAGCACCTTTCCTTAACGACATCCAGAGACAGAAGCGACCCAACCAAGCTTTAGACCTTGGGTCTCAAGACCAGTCCCTCAAAATGAACTTCACATCCACCCTCCTAGCCAGCCACGAAACCCTCTTCCAGACCTCCACAACAGCAACCTTCCTCGCCGCCGCCGCGCGCGGCAAAGTGCCCAAACCGACCCTCGGCCGCTGGCTCGCAAACGACAGGCTCTACATCCACGCGTACATCAAGGGCGCGGGCCGGTTCCTCGCGCTGCTGGACCTCCCTGACGTCGTCGAGTCTTCTTCCCGTCACGATGTCTCTGGTCACGATACTGGCTCTCCCACAGTGACGGACAAAGCGGCAGACAGAGTGACGGCAACCGTGACAGAACGACTCCTCAACTGGCTCATCGACGCGCTCGTCAACGTCCGCCGCGAGGAGAGATTCTTCATCGACGTCGCCGCCCGCTTCGGTATCGACGTCAACTTGCCCGCCGAGCCCACTTCCGAGAGAGGCAGCAGTGCCCACCGGCGGGTAAAGGACGAAGACAAGAACGCAGGCCTCCTCGCCTTCGAACGCCTCTTCACCTCCATCGCCACCACACGTCCTCGCGGTGTCATCCTCCCCTGGCTCGCCCCCGCCGTCCTCTTCTGGGCGACGGAGAAGTGCTACCTCGAAGCCTGGTCCGGCGCGACGGACATGCTTCCTTCGTCTGTCTCTGCTACATCTGCCTCTGGCACCTCTGAAAAAGACCCGGCCTTGGACTTGGACGGCGGCGCCCTGCGGACAGAATTTATCCCCAACTGGAGCAGCCCCGCCTTCAGAGCCTTCGTAGACGAGCTAGCCGCCATCGTCGACGACGGCGTCGACGAAGCGGTCCGACTACACGGCGAGGAGGCCGTCAGGGAAGAGATCGATCAGGCTCGGCACATGTGGAGAGAGGTTCTCCTGGCGGAGAACGACTTTTGGCCCGAGGAGATGGAGGAGGGTGGTTTGCGAAAGGTTCCCTCTGCTTAAAAGACGCCTACGTTCATCACACATGCTTCGGCATCATGACGCATCCTCACGTCCAGATATGCAGTGAATTAACTATGCCATTACCCGATCCCGTGACCCTAGTAGCCAGAGCATCCCCCAGCTCAGTATCCGCGCCGCGAGCGCATGGTATT